TCATCTTGGTAGATACTCCAACATCCCCCGACCAAACAGACTATGTACATTCTGCCTCCGTGAACCAGACACAGTAGCCCACATCCTACTTCATTGCCCATCTCACTCCGCCCTTAGATCTTCCCTACTAAACCCCTTTCTCCAAACCCTCCCTCCCTCTCTGATCCCCTCCCAATCCTCCTTAGTGATTCCCTCCCAATCACTACCAATCTTGTCACGGAATTTTTGTCAACCATTCTTATGAGCAACCGCAACCCCCATCCCTCCCAACTTTAGTTCTAACCTGTCCCTTATATTTTCTACCTAGCAACCTGTTTACTTCTCTTTAATGTAATCACATGCCAATAAAGGTCTATGTATGTATGTATGTGTACTGTTCCTAGAATTACGTTTCTCACAGGTGGACTGTCTTTGGTTTCTGGTGTCAGTAATGGACTGCATGAAAGTGAACAAACTGAAGCTGATTCCAGACAAGAGAGAGGTGCACCTCGTATGTGTACTGTTCCTAGAATTACGTTTCTCACAGGTGGACTGTCTTTGGTTTCTGGTGTCAGTAATGGACTGCATGAAAGTGAACAAACTGAAGCTGATTCCAGACAAGAGAGAGGTGCACCTGATCAGTCAAAAGGCAGATCAAGGAATCAGGATTCAGCTTGTTCTCAATGGTGTTATATATTCTTCCTGAAAACTCAGGTTAGCAGCTACTGGTCAATGCCTGGAGCTACTAAGCCTGCTCTCTGAGCCTGGATTCTCAGTTCTCACCAGTAGCTAAGAATGTTTTTGCGTCATTAAAATTACTGCACCAGCTGTACACTAATAAGATGTCTGATTTGACCATAGTAACACATGAGTCCGCTGCATTCCATATTGATTATTCTAATGTGCCTTTGGAAACTTCAGTGGGCCCAAGACATTGTAGCTAGAACGCTAATTGCAGAGATGTATGGGGAGAGCTGAAATTCCTTGTTATAACAGCTTCACTAACTACAGGTCCTTTCTGGGCACAATTCAAAGTGCTGGCTATGAACTATTCAGTCCAGACTATCTAAAGGATCATAACTCCTTATTTGAGTGTTCCTCATATTTTATGATCTTCTACCAAGGGATTTCTCTTGGTTCCACCAGCCTAACAGCTAAAACTCATGAGAACACAAGAGAAGGCTTTTTTGGTGGTTGCTTCAAGGCTGTGGAACTGCATTGTAAGGACACCCAGGCTGTCCCATCTTTACTGTTCCTGCACCAGCAGGCAAAAATTTTCTGTTCATTTTTTTTCCAGTGGTTGTCTCTCAAGGAAGGGTTTTTCATGAGGAGTAGGTTGTGTTTGTAATATTTAATGTGCTTTTGAATTGTTTTATTAAGTTAACTGAATCAAATTAGTTGATTCTGTTGCCGTTTTGTTACATAGCATGCTTTTTAATGTTTTAATTGGTTTTTAATACTGTTATTGTGTTTTAGCTCAATCCGTTTATTAGGATAATTACTGAATCCTTTTATTGGGAGAAAGGTTGGGATATAAATAGAAATGAGTTCAATATCTGGATATCTTTGTATCTGCTTATTTTAAAAACTATGATGAATCCCATTTTATCCGGTGCCAGGTTTGTGATGCCTGTCCATCTGTCTGAAACAATTGCATGTTTTTATTTAGCAGGTGAAACACGTTGTACATACATTTAATTGCTTTTCCTAAAAAATTGTATTTCAAGAAGCTACCTCTTCTCCAAATGAGAGAAACCAGCTCCAAAATCATGTTAGAGACAATGTGTGAAATCAATTTAAGTGAAAACTATAGTGTTGCCTCCCCTAATCCCAATGCTATAGTTACATTTTGGTTCCCTGACTGCCTTTTTGAAAGGCAGAATAAATAAGTAATCACATACAGTATATGCCCCTTTAGACCTTCTCCTTTCTATTTCCTGAATATTCCTCTTGAATTGTGAAAGCTCAGCAATTATTTGACCGCTAGATGGCAGGAAATGCTAATCTGGATTTTTTTAAAAAATGGACTCAGGATGCTAATTTTTCTAAAGTTTTGAGATGGCTTTTGTGTAACACCTATAAATAAAGCTTCATTTTTATATGTTAATTTTGCACATGGAACCGTAACTCCCCAAAAATGCTAGCAGATATTTTAAAGGAGTATAACATAGGTCTTTTAATATGCAAGACCTGAAGTATCACTGAAAGCCAACATTGTAGACAAGAGGCACGTTTTAACCTTACTGAATGATGTTCACAGGTGAAACATTTTTCCATAGAAATGAATGTTCATATAATTTTAAAATGTGATGTAGATGCTGAAAGGAAGACTGTTTTGATAGCTTGCAAAGTCGTAAGAAATTGCACAGGATCCTAAATAAGTGACTGTGTGGCTTTCTACCCAACATTCAGTACAAACTCAGAACTTACTGGCACCATAGCTGAATGTTTGTTGGCCAACTTGCAGGGTCCTTCTTTGTACAACTTGCTTAGACTTCTTTGTTGCAGTCTAAGCATGTACAACTTGGCATCATGGCTGGTGCTCAGTGCAGAGATTATGTTGGCTTTTTTGATTTATTAGTTAACCCATTCATCATAAGAAAGTTTAATGTAACTCCGAATGCTCCTATTAACACCATAACCAAAACCAAACCTTAGTTGTCCAAAAGGAAATCAGTGGAGTGACCCCTGCAGTATGCATCCAAACCCTGTTGGCAGTTTTTGGAGACTCCACCTTTTCATGGCTATAACAGCAGTTAGATTTTGGATGGATGGATAACTTTGTTATGGTTGAAGACCAGCAATCAATTCGATTTTAAAACTAGATTCCAGATTCTTATGAAGGCACCATTTCCTGTTGGTTACAAGGTTTATCTGATGCACTCTGTCAGTGGTTTTATGCAGTACTGTATATGTTCAAGAGTGAATGGAAATATTCTCATAGGTTTTTACTGTATTCTAGTTCCAGGACCAGTATTTGATTTGCATGTTGCTGAGGAAGCAGCAACCTTTATTAGAATTGCTTGGATGAAACCACAAGAACCAAATGGGATAATCACTCAATACAGAGTACAAGTACTACTTGAAGACACAGGGGAGACTCTTGAAGATACAATTCTAGCAGAAAAAAACACGGTACTTCAATTTGAACTCACTTAAACTACTGATTTTCATTGATTTTGTGTTGCCTTTTACTTACAATCAAAAATAAGATTTTGAGCAGCAAGGATTTCTCTCTCCTCACTTTTCATCACAGTATTTTATTGAATCTGTGGATCCAGACTTGATGAATGAGTATGTACCATCTGTCACATGGAATGATATAGGAGCAGTAACTGATTCATACGAAGGCTCAGCTGAGATGTTCCCAACAGTGCACAGAATTTCTCCAGTAAAGTTTACTACTGTGTCTGGCAACGATTTTTCCACTTTGAGTGAAGCTGTAGAACTGCATTCGGATTCTGGTAGGTTTTAAAGGTTATTTTCTGTACCTACCCCAGTGTTAAAAGGCTGTGGTCTTATACAGAATCCTTGCCGGAAGAGATCAGACAGATTATGGTTGGGTCATTTGCTGAAGTCGGATTCTATCCGTCTCCTCCTCCTAAAACAGCCTCCTGGAGCAAATGAGGAATGCCACACAAGCAGAAATGACTAGCCTCTTGTCACCCATCTGACCTTCCTCCTCCAGAAAGAAGATGCCAAAGCCATCGGACAAGCTGCATAGACAATCAGTTATTACAGTTGCCAAGGCAGGTGTGATTGGAGGAGATTAACATATCTCCATGTCCCAAGTGGATCTTAATTTTTCCTTAGGGCTTTTGACTAATCGGTTTTTAAATGTCACTGAAGGTAAATAGGTCAAAAAGTTACAACTCTGCTGCATGGGGGCAACAAACAGGTGGAGGTAACCCCATGACACAATGATGTCATTAGCATATTCACTGGCACAGCATTATCAATGGATCATTTTTCTTAACTATGTATGGATATTAATGAGCCGTTAAACAAGGCTTGGACAACAGATATATAGGCTTAAAATGCCTTTCTGATTTTTTTCTTCAAGAGTAGGCATTAAACAAGATAGAAGGGCAATGTCTGGCTTTATTTACATTCTTTTGAAAGTCAGTTGTAAATAAAATAAAGGCTAGGTTTTTTTCTACTTCAAAATGCAGACAAGTTTTCTGGTTGTCTTTATTGATCTTGACTAGAAATGCATTTTGCATTTCCACTGTGATGGGAATAACTTGGCCTCTTTTTTTCTTTTTTGTAAGTTTGTGTGTATATTGCAAGATTAGAAGCTTGTTAATGTTACATTTCCAGAAACACTTACCTGGGAATAAATTGTATTGAATAAAATGAGATTTACCTCTTAACAGATTACATATCTATGTACTGTAAGATTCCTCTCTTTGTCTGTTGTGTATTATATGAGGGAGTGTTCATTTCTGTCTTCTGTCAGGGGCCAACCTCTATTCCTAATCAGCACTTTTGTGTTTGTTTGTAATTTCATGTGGGGAAATTGCTAATTTCATTTCTTTGGCTCTTATGAATTTGGCCATAATTTTGGTACTGAATAGTTAAGACAAAACTAGCATAACTTTATTTCCCTTTTTAAAATGTAAAGCATGTACTGATACTATTACCCTTCCAGCTGAGCAGCTGTCATATCTCGTAAATGGACTTCAACCTTTCACTGAATACACAATTGCTGTGTCTGCTTTTACAATCATTGGAGAAGGACCACCAGCTATTCTCCTTGCTAGAACAAGTGAACAAGGTAAACTTTTATGAACAAATACTTCATTGATGGCACCTCTTCTCTCCAGTTTTCTAATTCATAATGAGAGTTTTGTTTTTGTTGTTTTTGTTCTGCAGTTCCAAGCTCTGTAGAAAATATAAATTATAAAAATATTACTTCATCCTCAATTTTGCTGTATTGGGATGTACCAATAAATCCCAATGGAAAAATCACACATTACACAGTATATGCAATGGAGCTGGATACAAACAGAGCTTTTCACATGACTACATCAAACAACAGCATCTTGATTACAGGTAGGGTTAGTTTAAAATTATTGTAAAAAAATTGTTGGAAGAATTGAGTTGAATGTTTTCTGTTTTCCTGTATCCACATTGCAATTCTGAGGTATTTCTCTCAGGTGAAATCTAACACAGGAATGGAAATACGTGGCCCTTCTCATATTGCTGGTATTTGCACTACTCAACCTAGAATCCCTTAACACTCGCTGTGCTGGGTGGAGTTAATGAACATTAAGTTCAACAATAGCCAGAAGGTTGTAAATTACCCCCACTTGATATGGCTCATCCATAGGCTGGAGAAAAGTTGAAACAAAGAATCTTTAAGAACTTCCCAGGTATCTTAAAGCTGATCTTTGTTATATTTGGGGAAAAAATATTGCAGAAGAATTCTGAAGAGGGACGTGGTGGCGCTGTGGGTTAAACTGCAGAAGCCTCTGTGCAGCAAGGTCAGAAGTCCAGCAGTCGTAAGATCGAATCCACGCAACGGAATGAGCTCCCATCGCTTTTCCCAGCTCCTGCCAACCTAGCACTCCCATAGCATGTAAAAATGCAAGTAGATAAATACTGTAGGTACCACCTCGGTGGGAAGGTAATGGCGTTTCGTGTCTAGTTGTGCTGGCCACGTGACCACGGAAACTGTCTATGGACAAACGCTTGGCTCTGTGGCTTGGAAACGGCGATGAGCACTGCCCCCTTGAGTCAGACATGACTGGACTAAATGTTAAGGGACCTTTACCTTTACCTAGAGTTATGCAAAATTTATTTTTATCAAGTTGTGCTTTCATAGTAAAGGATAAACATACAAAACTATATCTTCTTCCATTTCTGTTTTCAATTATGGTAGATGGCTAATAGAGAATTTAGGAAAATAAAATTTGTGAAAGGTAATGACCAGAATCCAAGTGAAACATGTTTAACACATCCTTGAACAGCACCTCCCACCCCAAAATCTGGCAAAACAATTGTTTGAAACTTTTGAAGGCATGCTGGGACAAGGCATCAAGATCTGTTGCTAAAAATGCAAAAACAGTTTAAAAATACTCTTGATCTAGGACCATAACAATGCAAGTAAAAATGACGACTACAGCAACACCTACCACATCTTGCACTAAAAACCAGTAATTTTTTTGTAAAACTAAACTTTGTTAAAATCTAATTTCTTTTCTAAATCTTCAGTCCTGTAATGTCTTAGAAAATGTTTCTTGGCAACAATTTTTATTTGGCATCGATTCTAGTGAAAGGAAAGTGTGTAAATCTATTTGTTTACTGGGGCATACTCTGTATCGGTAGGTTGTGTTTGTGCAGTTGTCTTCTTCTTGTTCCAGGCTTAAGAAAATATACAGATTATAAAATGAGGGTGGCAGCTTCCACTACCATGGGAGAAAGTGCTCTGTCAGAAGAAAATGACATTTTTGTGAGAACTCCTGAAGATGGTATGCAATTGGTTCCTACTGTTTTTATAATTCTCTCTATCTTTACTGATTGATTCATCTGCCTGTTTAAAAGCTCAGAATGAGTTACAAATGTACGCTATGAATGAATGAATGAATATGAACTATATCTGATTTTTGTGAACCGAAAAGCTCATTCTGAGCTCAACTGAACTGAATCTTTTTCATTCTCTTTGTAGCCTGAATTGAAGGTTGATAAATGTGTGCATTCTTAGTATTCAACCTATAGTAGATTTCACCCCAATTTTTCTTTCCTTCTCTAAATAAATGCTTTCATAACAGGATGACAGCTCTTGCAGACATGGTTTTATTTGTGATAAAAGTATTTTCCCCCTAAACTACACAAAAATCAACAAACTAGATCAGGTATTTTGAAGTTTTTGTAATAACCAAAAAGTAATAGCTAAAAAAAATTATACAGTTGCTTTGGTCTTGCATTAAAAGAAACCAATAATTTGGACAAAAATTGGATATATTCTTTTCAATTCCAAAGCCGGAAATCTTCATTTGAAAAGATTGTCCAGTGCTATTCGTGTTATACTATAATGCTGTCATAGTGAGAAAATGTCTGTAATTGCTATAGTGGCAGAAAAACAAGCAGAGTGATTGGACTGTCACTCCATCCTCACTCTTTCTTTTTGTCTTCCTATAATTTCCAAATAATGATTTAAAAAACAACAATTATGAATGAATTGGAAATGTATGTGACACATGTCAAACTCTGAACAACTTTCTTTTATGTTTTTCAAACTAAAGAACCCAATTCACCACCACAGAATGTTGAAGTATTAGAAGTGACTGCCACAGAAATAAGCTTAAGATGGTCACCTCCGGAAAAGCCAAATGGGATCATAACTCATTATGAAGTTATGTATAATAATGCCACTAATGTAACTCTGAAAAATACAACAGAAACAAATCTTCTGCTAAATGGCTTGAAACCACACACCCTGTATAACATTTCAGTAAGAGCATTCACTCGCCTTGGTCATGGAAATCAGTCGTCTCCCTTATTGGCTATACAGACAGCTGAAACGGGTAAGTATGGAATGTTGGGACACTTGTAACACTTTGATTTTAAACCATCATTATAAAAAAGAAGTCCCATATGTGAAATTGATAAGATTTACTTCTGAAATATTATTCAAATTATTTTACACTATTTATATGCTGTTTTTCATTCTTTTTAAAATAATTCCAAAACAGTTTACAGAGCAAGACCATAAAAAAAATAGTCAATGACATAATGAGACAATAATGCAACTTGTTTAAAGTATTTGATATGAGGCACTACAGTGAGAATGGAGAAATCCCAAAAGAGAACAGCTTTAGAGTGCCTTCTGACACATCACCAAAAGAGGGACAATAGATGTGGCTGTTCTACATAATTTTGCATGTGCTAATTGATACAGACTTATAAAGACTTGAGATTAAAAGAGAAATGCAGTTGACCTTGCCTTAGAGGAGAGCACTGTGACAAATGATTCTGAGTTCTGCTGAGTCTACTTTCTAGATGCTTACGGTGAACAGGTGACTCCAAAGACCCTCCTTGTGGTTCTTTACGTTTGTATCAGACTTGGATCGGAGTGCTCTCCATATGGACAACACAAAAAGATGAAAACACAATTCAAAAGGAGACTTGTCATTTTCCAGCTCTTCAGTGGAGCAGCTGCTCTCCTTAAAAGAGGACAAGTGGCCACTCTAAAGCAGGGGTCACTTTACCTCAAAAGTTTACTGTGAGTCACCCCTTCCCCATGGTACAGACCATGAGCCTCCCGTAGGAGACAACTTGTATATGCATGAGTTCCATACATGCAAGCTTTCTAGACATGATACTGTAGAACTCCATCTTTCTTTCGCCAGGATTTCTAACTTTTCAAATCTTGAAATCTGACCCCCCTTGAATTTTGCAATGTTTACACATTGAGCAATTCCCTATCTTGTTAAGGGGGAGGGGTGTTACTTCTTATTTCCTTGAAAACAAAACTAAAGCAGATTTATGAGGGATGACGGCTGGGACTTGACTGGACAAAGCAATATTGAGTTGGTCTATGTACTCTTTAGTTTACGGCTGGGACTTGACTGGACAAAGCAATAATGGTAATATTTGATGAGTTGGTCTATGTACTCTTTAGTTCCAGCTGCTGTCATGCATTGGATAGCAATGCAAGCATAATAACAGTTTGGCATTTTTATTTGAATAACTATCTACCTGACTTCTCCTTTCAGTACCTGACTTTCCACCACAAAACATAACCTACAGAAACATATCTTCTTCAGAAATAGAACTGTCATTTCTTCCCCCATCTGTGCCCAATGGGATTATACAGAGCTATACTATATATCTCAGGGAAGCTGATGGAACTGAAGAAAGAATAATCAACACTACAAGTCTGTCACTAATGATTACAGGTGATCACTCTAGCAACCAATTATTTTAAAACGATAGTACCCATGCTGGTTAGTTTGCACTGGGTGATGCCTTTTGTATTTCATAATGCATTTAATTTAAATTAAAAATCAGAATGATATATTTTCCCTTGGACAGAAATTGATCTATAATTGTAGGTTATAGTATATACTACTTGAAAATTGCTCACCATTACACAGACAGCAGCTTTAGGAAACAGATTTAAAAATTAAGCAAACATGTAATTTCATCTTAAATGTGCAGTTCAGTTGCTGCTGAACCAAATAGCTTACAGGAAACCACACAAGAACGTCTTGAAATCAGAACTCCTGTTTGTGCTTTGAAAGTATTAAAGACACATGAAAAGTAGCTCTTCTTTATGTCATGTTCTTGGATCCATGTAGGAGAGCAAGTATTGCTCTTGAAAAGTCCTATTGAAATGGCTGCAAGTAACTAAATCCCTATTAATTTCCATTAAACTTCCATACAATGTTCATGGACTGAAGCATTTACACATTGTAAATTATAAGCTAAGAATTATTTAGTCTATGCTAATTTGACTTTTCCTAATTACAACATCTTTATATCTGTGAAACAAACACATAGTGCAATAATTATACAAATACATTACTAAAAATACAAAGTGAAATATATTTAACATACTTATTCTTTACTTAGGCTTAAAAACATACACAAAATATGTTGTTAAAGTGTCTTCAAGCACCTCAAAGGGGGAAGGTGTTTGCAGTGCACCTCTGAGCATAATGACCGATGAAGATGGTAAGTTTTCTATCATTATCTAATTACAGTGTTATTTTTTGGATTGCAGTTGTGAAGCCTTTCACAGCAAACAGCAAATCTGGAATGTATGCCTGTTGTCAGAACGTTTTCAGACAATCTTCAGTAAGGGAGAAAAAAGTTGAGATTTAGGCTGATATTAAAACTTTCACAGACCTTAAAGAAAAGAGAAGCACAAGTAAAGCAAATTTGGTAAATTTAAACTGTTGCAAAGTACACAGAATTCAGAAAACGATGACAGATCAAAAGATGGTATTATGAGAAAAAAATTAAAAATATTTTTAAGTACAGTTATTCTGAGTCCACAGCTTGTGACAGCAAGTCTACAGAATGTTTCACAGATTTGTTAATACCTCTGTTTATGTCCCCTGTTTCCATTCATCACTACAGCTATGACCTGATTACAGTTAATGTTTCTGAATGATGCTATATTGCTGATTTATACTTTATATAATTGGGTGATGATATACTGTTAGAACGATCCTTTACATTAATGTTCCAACAGAATAGGTTCTTAGATCATCCTGGGAGAAGCACATCATTAGCATTTGTCAGAAGCCAGATAAGCCATGTATGCCCCCACGTGGCTCATGCCATTTGCTACACGTTCTTGAGAAGCATCCAGGAACTGCAAATTGGAGATACACTGCTATGCTATATAGATTTAACAGTATGTGGGAGAACACTTTAACAGTATACATAGCACAGCAAACTGGAGAAACTGCATCTTTAGTGCTCCCCAGAGTTTTCTTCAGATTGAATTTAGTTTGATTCATTTTTATAAAAAGGAAAAGAAACAGTAAGACTGGGAAAGAAGGAAGAAAGGAAGGAATTTTGGGCACAAAGATACAATGAGTAACACACATTCACACTCTTGGAAGAAGTAACATCTAGTAGTGTCATTACTAGTGGAGGGGAACTGCATTGGCAGTCATTACTTCCAAAATGTATCTTGTGTTTGATTGTAACATTCTTTAAACAATAATGAACAATTCCAAGCTCTAGATTAAATCTGAATTAATTTTCAATTCTGTTGTGAACTACCTTAGGTCCCAGTTTTGAGAGAAAGGTGGGATATAAGCTACCCTATGTCCCAGTTTTAGGAGAAAGGTGGGACATAAATTTGATAGAGGTAGATAAAATTTCTTTATATGAATCAATCCTGTGGCCCAGTACTAATTCAGGGTGGCTCTCAAAAATTTTGCCAGATAACCTTTCCAAATCTGTGCAAATGTATATTAGCAAAAAGCTGTGTTCATGTGCAATATGCATGTAAAGTACTTAAATGAGGAAGTGGCAGTGGGCTATGTTGTGTGCTCAGTCTATGCCTATTCTTCAGCATTTGCACATTGAGCATATATATATGTAAAGGGTGTCATGGGCATGCTCAACTGCAGATGTCAGGGTAGGGCTAATCTGAGTATATGATGTCAGTGACAAAGGCAACAGTACAGAAGCACCGGTAATTCAGTAAAAGAGTGAACTGCAGGCATGTAACATGTGAATAGATCTCAAGATACAGGGCGATTAACCTGAACTCTCCAGTTAAATGATAGCAGATTGAAAATCTCTGCTTGTGCATTTGCACTGGATTAGATCATTGTGCACATTGTTGTGAACCATGTGAACACTGAACTTGTGCTGATTCTGAAAGTGGGAAACAACTAACACAAATGTCCTTGTGCTAGGTGAGTAGCATAATGGATGCAGGACTATATATATATGTCAGAGTTTCCCTGTCAAAAGTTCTTTCTATTGTCACTCAGCCATGTACCTCCTACTGATCCCAAGATGGGAACACCCAGGGTGAACAGACATCAGGAGATACTATGAGTCTTGACTGAGAATGTTTTACTACTTAACACATCAACCAGTGTCCTTGACCAGTTTGCTCCAGGGAGCTTAACATCAAAAATTCCCAAGCTAGACATGCCAAGCTTGTGAGGTAGACGCCACCTCCCATAAAAAAAAAAATTAAAAACTCAGTAGCTTGTTCAAGGTTAGAACTGGCTTTAGTACAGTACTGCACTTCCTCTTAGCCAAAAATCCAGACAGTTGCTTGAAACGTATTTTGTAGTTTATTCAAAGAAGAGAAAAAGCAGATGAAGGGAGAGGAGAATTTAAAAGAATGGTTCCAAGGAACAGCTACTCAAAAATCTGAATTAAAAAAAACACACCAGAAAATAATAAAATCTAATCTACCTTATCTGATTGATACCTAAGCAGAGACATGGAGTAGTTCTGGGGCACATTCCAAACATTCCCTGGCATAGCTTAATGAAATGGCACATAGAGGTCTCCTTGTGAGTCACTCCATGTCCCAGAAGCAAAGCTTGGCCTCTGCAGAGCTATACTAAGCTCAAACGTTTCCCAATTTTCATTTTTAAACAAATGAATGGACCATTTCAGACCAATGTCCTACCATCATATAACAGCTCTTAATCGTTTTTGATCCTTTGATCTGGTGGATGAGGCAGCTTTCTTGACGTACCAGTCTCTGAAAAAGGAAGCAATCTAACTCAGGGCAGAGGTTCCAGCCCAAGGTGTTAGGGTGCTCTTCTAGAGTGATAGAAGATAAGCATGGAAATATCTTCTCCTCTCAATTTGTCTTTGAAATTACAGGAAAGAAATGGAAAGAGTGAACTGCCTGTTTACCATTTGATCTCTGGTTAAGTGATTAAGTTCCCATATCCTCATAGACATGCTGAATTCCATATTTCATCTTAATTTCTTCACGATATATTTTATAGACAAGGCAAATATTCTGTTACTGAATGCACCTAGTACTTTCTCTTTGTTTCTTGATTTATAGATATCTTGATTGGACTTTTAACTGCCTGTCTATATTCATCATAACATGTAAAGTTCTGCTTATTTTAATTTTATAACATGAATAGATTAAATTCCTGCATTTTTGTCAGCCTGATGTTCTTTTGTCTTCCCACCTTTTGAAGCTATTGCAATCATTTCCAACTGATTTGTGCTTCTCACGGAAACTTCTTTACTACGTTTAACATAAATATTATCCTATGAAATTCATATTTGTATTGGAAGGAAGAAATTACAACAATGTACTTAGATAATAGGTGAATCACTGTAACATCTGTTGCTCTGTTTTCTCATGGAATACTGTTTTCCATTGAATCACAAAAACAGATGCCTTTCCATCACCATGCAAACTTTTTCCTTTGTCACCTTACTATGGAAAAGCTGCCAACTCAAATCAATTCTTATAATGCTAATATGGATGTGTCCCTTTTAAAAAATTAATTATATCTGAAAGCATGACCATTTAACAAGATATTGTCTCATTTTATAGCTCCCAGTTCTCCTCCACAGTTACTCACAGTAAAACAGTTGTCTGGTGTCACAGTGAAGTTGTCATGGCAACCACCATTGGAGCCAAATGGAATTATCCTCTATTACACAGTGTACATCTGGTAAGTTTTTGGAGATAAATATTAACCCAGCACCTACCAGAAACTCCCCCCCCCAAAACACTTCTTGTTGGCCCTATGTTTTACCTAAATAAAAACATATCACTTGAAATAACCTGTCCTTTAGAAATTCAAGTTGAGCTTCTTATTGGGGCAGAGGTCAGCACATTCCAGATTGCTGAAATATTTCTGGATGCTGGGTTCCTAAATCAAGACGTTTTACCACCCAAGCTGCTAGAGTGCATGCAACCCTGCTACAGTTGGTGATTCCATGGCAACTTGCCAGCTTCTGCCACTGGATATAATTGAGTGGATTAGAATCTGAGACACTCACCGGGGGCATCAACAAACAGTGGCATAGACCCCACCACAGCTGGTTCAGAGTATGAAGGCATAGGACAGGTGTGTGAATAACAGCATGCAGCACAAGTAGTTTATGAATGGTTCATACCTGGCATGGCTATATACAAAACATCCGAAATAGCATCCCTAGTGTCTCTCCTGGTGCCTTATGATGCCTTTTGCTAAGTGCAGAGCTTGGACAGAAATGGTCACAGGTACAGGTGTTATCTGCAACACAATCCACAATTATTTTTTAAAGCTAATATAATTATCAGTAGCATGAGTGCCTTGAGAGCATACTGACTAGTAATGTTGCTACTTTAAGAGTAATGTTTACTTGTTGTTTTTTGTAAAATGATGCTGTGGAGTGTCTATCATCTCATTACCATGGATGTCTTTCTCAGAAGTAACACTGTATCTGTATTTTCAGTGGAAAGTACTCACTTGAAAGCATGTTTCAGATCGCAACATTCAGACCATAGAAGCTGAGATATTAAATTGAGGACTGACCAGTGTGTGTCCTTTTTTCTGTCCAGAAGAAGATTCTTGCATGAAGAGGATTAAAAATATTTCCACCGATCATGATCCTAGTCTGGACTATATTTCTTTAATCTAATTGCCCCCAAATAGCAGCAAAATGTGGCAAATGGAGGCAGCAACCACAGAAACAGAAGAATACAGATAATGACTCTGATGTGAGCAAGGGGTTAAATCCTCTTGCCCTATGCAGTAGATCCAAACTGTATTCTTTTACCTACCTCTGTCCCAGCAAGGAAAGCTAAACACAGGGGGCAATTTAATAAACCATTATTTTTCATGTCAAATATTTATATATTACACTTAATGTGTTTGCTTAGGAATAAAACATCAAGAAAAAGTATTAATGTGACAGAAACATCTTTAGAGATCACGGATTTGGAAAATAACAGCAAATATAGTGTTTATGTATCAGCAAGTACTAGATTTGGTGATGGAAACATGAAGAGTAACATGACTAACTTCAGAACATCTGAGGGAGGTAGGTGTGTCCTGTTACTCTAATGAAAGTGGGAGTTTGGTTTATTGTTGAATGTGTTCTTACCCACTAGGTGGAGAAATAAAATTTTAGGCTTCATAAGGGAAGTAACTTACATGGCTAATGGCAGAATCCATAGATTATGCACCTAAACATAAAAGAATATGATATTTCTCCCTCCATTTCCTTTTCAAGATACTGTACAGAATTTTGCTTTTATTCCATCCAAAAAGGGGGTGGTAAGTTTCAATACATTGCTTCCTTTCATGGAATTCTTAATCATTGTCCCTTCAGAGCCAGCAGCCAGGGGAACATGGAAGGTGACAGTGACTAAAATTTTGTAGTTATATGATAATGAGATTCATACAAGTTGTTTAAATCACTAGTTTTTGACGTATGCGTATGAGTGGTTCACCTTTAAGATCAACCTTATGTGAACTATGATTTTGTGATGTGATTTTATTAGTGTTGCCTTGTATTTTTGTATAAAGAGATATATGTGCTATTTTTGGTTCAGGTACCAAAATAACATAGGCATTCTTGAATACTGACCACATACCCTGTATGAGACACTATGGATTGTTCAGCCTCAGGCAAAAAACCCTCTTGGCCATTGAAGAGATATATTGGGCAGACCTCCATGTAGATGTGGGCACAGCTCTGTTCTGTGATGATTCTAAAGTAATTTTTGGAACCACAGAGAACCTGGTATTAATAAAGAGCAGAAACAGGCAGTATTCATAAAGAGAAGAAACAACTTCTGCTACATTGCTTCAAGATCTCTCCCAAAAGTACTATGATTAGACACTCCAGTCGAAATTATTCCCTAATAAAGAGTTACCAAATGCATCCCCTATTCTCCCTCCTCCTGCCCAGCATTTCCTTTTATGGAGAGTTTGCGGCAGTTAAAAATGTCTCCAATCAGGTTTAGAAAAAGCTGCTGTCCAGAGTTCTGAAATGGGTCAGATACTTCTGGACCAACTTAGTCTATTATTCAGTAGAACTATTTCTGCTCAAAGGCAGCCTGAATTCCAAGTGGAGTTTGATGGAATTCCAAGTGGAGTTTGATGGAATTTGAAGTTTGATGCATATACTACCATGCTGGTTCCGGCCTATTATTTAGTGTGAAATCCTCTTCCCCTATTTGCACAGAAGAAAAATCACATGTTTTGTACAAATGTTTTGCACATATTTTTCAGCTCCAAGTGACCCACCTAGGAATGTGTGGTATAAAAATCTCACTTCTTCATCAATTCATATATTCTGGGATCCTCCTGTAAAGCCTAATGGGGCCATTCAGTTCTATTCCATTTACCTTAAAAATGATTCCAACACTTACATACAGGTATATTTGCTTTGTTCTTTTTTTTTCTTTGAAATTGTGTGATGAAATGAATTATTTTGTAAATTAGAAAAAATTACAGCGGTTTTACTAAGTGTTATCAAATATATCTAACACTTTTTAATTTTGTAACAAGAAAAAAATTGAGCATAACTAGTGCAGGGAAGGAAGTATTAACTAACCTTTACATTCAGGCTTTGACTTCACCCATTAAGATGAGTGCAATTTTTCATCATTGACATCATTAAATACAATCTGGGGAGTCATGTGTTAAATTTCTAGAAATTTTGCATTTAAAAGGCAGAAATTAGATAAGGAGGCTGTATTATAGAATATGGTACATAGCTTAGTTTTATTATTACTTTATTTTTATTTTATTTGTTCGATTTATATCAATGGTTTTTCTTATGATTAGAGACCTATTTTATTTATGTACAGGTATATTGTAATTTTTGTTATGTTACTTAAAGAAGTAATTTTTGCACAGATAATGGAACCAGCTACTCTTCATATGAAGCTTGTATTTCTTCTTCAGAAAGAAGGAGATTCAAAGAAAACAGCAGAGAAAACTCTGTGCATTCAATTAATCACTTGAAATTTCTTACTTTGATTCTGGCTTATTTCATTCCTTGGAGATTTTTTTTCTTATTGCACATAAATATATAACAACATAAGTAAACATGCAATATTTTATTTTGCAAACTGCAATGAAATAACAGTGAATGCAGATAAAATAAAACATATGACAGTAATAGGGATGTACTGTGAGATTTAAATTTTCAGTTTTGAATTGTGCCTTTGTCTATATTATATAAATCGGGTGTACTGAGATTATGTCTTATTTGTGAGAGTGCCATCTAATATATAGATGGTTAGGTCATCATTAGAAACCCTAATAGCTCCTTAAAATGACAATAGATGTGGCAGTATTTTTTACAATGCTTCCCTATATGTGTCTACTCAGAACTATGTCCTATTGAATCCAATGAGACTTGTCCACAGGTTGTTTTGTAATATATAAATCAGATGCTGTAACCATGAACCAGATGTGGTATGCAGAATACCATCCCACACTTCTTTCTGTCCCTTCATCTTCTTAATTTGTTTTCTTTCACCCTTAACCTGTGGGTTTGGGAGATTTTTTTTCCTTTCTTTCTTTCTTTCTTTCTTTCTTTCTTTCTTTCTTTCTTTCTTTCTTTCTTTCTTTCTTTCTTTCTTTCTTTCTTTCTTTCTTTCTGCAAATGGGTAAGAAAAAATGGGTGGAACATATGGGCATACTTCTCCATCATTCTTGAAATAGTGTCTGTTGCTGGATAGTAACCACCTTAGTTCTGTGCCAATTGCTGTGGAGCCAGGAATGATGAGTCATTTTTTCTTGCCCTTCTGTCATCAAATAGCCCTTAGATACTATGAATGAAGAAAATCCTGGCACTGCAAGAGAAATGGATAGAATACAAGGGCAAAAACACAGAACTTGGTCTCCTACTGAATATATGTTTTAAAGAGTAGTGTCACAAATACATTTTAAACTATCAAAATGGCCTGATGTAAAAAATTTGAAACATAGGGGCAGACTTTTGAATATATAGCACTCTCACATATAATGCAGTCTTATGAAAATTCTTAAAGTTTTGCTTTTTAATGGTATTTAAAATTTTATGTATCCTCCATATAAGGAAGTTAAAGTTCACTCTACTTAGTATTTCCCTGATGGTTTTATTATAAGTGAGGCTCCCTCTAGTGGCTGAATGAATAGCAGAATTAATAACGAAGAACATCCACATTTTCTGTCCCAAAAAGGTTGGTGGCTGAAATGCTACACAAACCTCACACCTCATAGTAGGCCCCACTGAATTCCATGGGACTTTTTCCTGAGCAGGCATATATACCATTGTGCTCATTGCAGCTATGTGGGTATGATATGATATTTGTTTTTCTAAAATAAATACAGTGACCCACATTTTGTCAAATGAAAGGTTAGAAATTAAACAGGTTTTGATAAATTAACATCCTAAAGGGGCTTTCCAGTTTACCAAGTAACCCAATTGTGAGTCTGGATTTAGAGTATTGGGGGACGATTGGTGATCACGTTCTTGCTCAGCTGTGATATACATAAAATAATCCTACTCATCATACCCTCTAGTCAGATTATCCGTGAGTGGAATGGTAATGGCATGGCCCTCACTGCCTCCATTCCAAGTCCCCATGGATTATTCTGATTATCTGTATAAAACGTAAAACTTTTACAGCTTGATTGTGTTTCTAATCACAGTAGAATTCAAGAATACCCCAAGACTTGGTCTCCTGTCAGTGCAGGAAATCCACAGCTAAACATCACTGACAGATGGCCATCCATCCTCTTTTTAAAAGCTTCCAATGAAGGAGAACACTCTTCCAGGTAGACTAGGCTCTCTGCATACAAGTTGCATAGTGCAGGTTCTGTGATCAGATAGACTACTGGAAATTGGGCATAGGGAACATGAAAGTTAATCCCCCATGACTAGAAATTTAATTGACTCCCTGAATATCCCTCTATCAAGCTAAAATATATTGCGTTATGCATTATCAAGTCGATTCCTACATTTTTGCATCCCTGGTTGAGTTTCCAAGATTTGAAATATTTAAAGAATGGTTTTACCATTGCCACCACCCCCCGTAATTTTCCATGGCTGAGAGAGAATTTGAACCCGTCTCCTGTGTCTTCATCCAAAATTCTATATGCCACACTACAAACCATGTTATATTTCCTTGTGTTTACTGGAAGAAGTATGGGTTTCTATCATAATTGTCAAGGAGAGAGTTGATCCACCAGTCAAATGACTAGATAGGCGGGGTATAAATACAATAATAATAATAATAATAATAATAATAATAATAATAATAATAATAATAATAATAATAATAAATTTCCCCCTCCTTCAAATTGCCATGGAGGGATTTTCAGAGGGAGAGGTTGCAGCTCAGAAGTACAAAAAATGCCAACCTTTTCATTCTTCTGTGCCATGACCAGACCCTCAAGATCAGGTATCATAATTGGGCATAGAAAAAAGGTCCCACCAATGCCAATGGGAACTTTTTTTTGTGAAGGCTAATGTTTCATGTAGGACTAGGAGAGGGCAGCTGAGGAGGAAGAAAAGGAAAGAAGGAATGGATGGATACATGAGAAAATGTGCCTCTGTGTATCAGATAGCATATCCCATGTTGCACCTGCAGAGATCCTGTTTGTTTAATGCATGTCCAAGACAGAGATCATCCTGTACACGAAATCAATTTTTAATGATGGTTGGAGGAGTTTGGCAAGAGAGTTGGCTGATGGACATTGCAGAGAGATGATTAAGCTTATTGTATCCTTCTAAACTCACTACAATATGACTGAAATCCTATATGAAGCCAGTCATTTAAAGGGACCTGAGTAGTTGCCTGTTGGACAAGAATCACCTTGTCCTTGCTTCATGTACATTTCCATTCTGGGGACATGGATAATGTTTACTTCATCAGATGGGTACAGACAACATTTTCATTGTTGCTTCAGTTTTACATTTTGATCTCTTTGAAAGTGGCCACAGTGCTACAAGTCAGCATTTGAATTCATCCTGAGCTTGTTAAAATGATAGAAAATTCAAGCAGATGTTATGACCCAGTGCCCCAATCATCTGCTAGGAAATGGATCAAGTGACTAGAAAGGTGAGGGAACATGAGAAGACTGTAGGCCAGAGAGGGGCCTTGACACAGTGGCAGGGTGTGTGCTTTGCAGGCCCCAAGGTCTATGGTTCAGTTGAGTAAAAAGGCTGAGAGAAAAATCTAAATAAGAACTTAAGAGAATTGCTGCTGGGATAGATGGAACTCTTCTGACTCTCTGAGGCAGTGCCGTATGTTGATATGGTTAGGAACCTAGCTCTCTGAGGCAAGAAATAGGAAAGGAAAAGTTCTGTGTACCATATCAGATACATGTGTGCATACTCCTTTATATGTACAAGGTGAAGAAGTGAGAGGAAGCAGGCACCTTAACAAGGACTGCTGCATTTTTAGAACAGCTTGTACTGAGTAGAGCTATCACTTCAGGTCAATCTGCAGGCCTCAGGTTTCCTGATTTAGGGCAAAAATATGTATACAGTAGTGCTTTGCTTTATGATCGCTCTGTTTAATGACAAAGCCGCATTACAATGAACTTTTCGCGATCGCTTTTGCGATCGCTTTACGATGTTTCCTAGGGGGGAATTTCACTTTGTGATGATCGGTTCCCTGCTTCGGGAACTGATTCTTCACAAAATGATGATTTTTGGGCAGCTGATTGGCATTTTCAAAATGGCCACCGGGTAAACAAAATGGCCCCTCGCTGTTTTCTGGGATGGATTCCTCGCTGCACAGGCAGCGAAAATGGCCGCCCTATGGAGGATCTTCGCTGAACAGTGAGTTTCCAGCCCATCGGAACTCATTAAATGGGTTTTAATGCGTTTCTATGGGCTTTTTAATTTCGCTTTACAACGTTTTTGTTCTACAGCAATTTCGCTGGAACGAATTAACGTTGTAATGCGAGGCACCACTGTATATTGAAGTTTATGTTATATACAGTTTATATACTGTAACAAGAAGTTTGGTCTACTGTATATATCACGAGACCAAACTTCTCATTACAGATAACTTGTGTCATTTGAACACGAAATGTATTAGATTCTGGTAGAACTTTGTGACTAGGCAATTAATGAAGCCATTGCTTACCTCTCAATGAGCAAACAACAGAATGAAGCTAATATGAAATCATAGATTGTGTGAAAAGCTCCTGCTGCAACCATCAGACTCCATCAGCACTTTAAAAATTGCTTGTTCTAATAACAGGCTATCTGTGATGTATCGTTTCAGCCAATGTGTGTTTAAATGTTTGTATCTGTCCTGAGCTAAATGTATACATAGGCAAAGATAGGTTATAGAGATATATTTGTTTTGTTTTAACTGAATATTTTGTGCTAATATTTCCCTCCCCCAGAATTTTACCAGTTATGATATTGAAAGTGATGCTGACAATGAAACTTTGTCTACAGTATTAAGCAATTTAGCAAAGTGGAGCCACTACACACTTTGGCTGACTGCAAATACAGCTGTTGGAAATGGAAATCAAACCAGTGAAATATTGCAGTTGTACACAGATCAAGATAGTATGTAAATAAACATTTACATATACTGTTTTTAGATGGCAAAGTTGACTTCTCATGCCCTGTATTGTTACATGGCACTTCATTTTAGCTGTAACAGTCTCTACCCCTGTGCTATGCTCAACATTTTTCTTAATTATGAATCCTTATCCTCTTTTGTGGCAGAGTCTCTCTCCTGATCCAAATTACGGAAGTGCATAATCCTTTAGCCCATTATTCTGGGCTTTTTCTCCTAATTTCCGATGTCTGACAAAACAGATATAAGCAGCAATGCTGATTTCTCTGTTTATTCTATTGGCTTTTTACTTTCGTTTTAGGATAAACTCTCTTTTTGGAGTTCCATTTGGCCTTACTTTCTATCAACTTATTAGCAGAATGCTAAAACAGGAGGTGGATGAATGAATCAACCTATTTCCAGTTGATGTCAACATCCATCTATGTTTATGTACATAATTTACAGAGTTATGACGTGATCCAAGGGATTTCTTTAAATTTTTGCATTTTGAAAAACAGGTAATAGAAGCTTCACACAGCAAAAAAGACTAGCTGGCTTTAGCAATCTGCGTAAGTCTTCAAAATTGGTGGGTGGGAGGAGGCACAAATGTTCCATGGAAAATAGAGACTTGTAAGACCTATGCAGACAGAAATCGTTTTTTTCTCTATAAAATCCCTGAATGGGATAACAAATCACTGTATTCCACCATTCTGTAGCCATAGGGACTGACTATTATCTGTTTAAGAATGGAAGCTTAAAAGGCTGCCCTCAGACCACTTCATAGCACTTGAAATATCTGAATTCAGAAAAGTGCCAGACCTGGAATATGTTTCAATCTGCTCATTAACCTGACAGATGAGGATCAGATCAGTTCATTCTGAACACTAAAACAGCCTAGTTCTTTAAGCATCTATAAGTAAGGGCCAATTTTGAATAGAGGCTGTGATCCCAGTCATATGTATCTGAAAGTGAATGAGAGTAAATTTCAAAATGTTCAGAAACAGTGTGATAAGTGGAAGATCTTCTGCCTTTGCAGCCGTATTTTCTGCAGAATCTGAATAAGCTTTGATTATCAGATTGATGCCCAGGAAATCTACGTTTAGACATGTCCAATTAAAATCAGTCAATCAATCAATCAATCTAGCAATCTATTAATTAATTAATTATTAATTAATTAATTGGTTGGTTGAGTGATTGATTGATTGATTTTAATTAATCTGTTAATTAATTAATTAATTAATTTTGTGTGAGGTTTTGTTTTTATATAAGTTAATTAATTAATTAATTAATCTGTTAATTAATCTGTTAATTAATTAATAATTGGTTGGTTGCGTGATTGATTGATTGATTTTAATTAATCTGTTAATTAATTAATTAATTAATTTTTTAATTAATCTGTTAATTAATTAATTAATTTTGTATGAGATTTTGTTTTCATATAAGTAATTGTGGTTTTAAACTAAGCATCTTATGTAGAAGCAGGTCTTATCAAAATCACTAGGATTTTTTTTTCTCTGTAATGTGCTTATATATGATTATAAAAAAATAGTGTATGTACTTTGCATTATATATGCAGACAGATAAACTTTTTTTTTTTCATTTGTGCTATAGTTCCTGATGGACCTATTGAACAACTGGCCTACCAAAACATTTCTTCCACTGCTGTAAATATAAGCTGGATGCCCCCACTGCAGCCAAATGGAATTGTTTTCTATAATGTTTCACTGACAATGCAGGATGTTCTAGCAGATTCTGAGATGTGGTCACTTGTTTCATATGATACAAATATGGTTATTGATCAGCTGGAAAAATATACAGGTTATATTCTAAAAATTACTCCAGCAACAGAAAAAGGACCATCTGAAATGCACACCACTAGTTTCTGCATCAGAACAGAAGAAGATGGTATGTTTTGCCTTTTTATAGTTTTATTTTATAGGTCTTCCTAGGTATTATTTTGCTCAGGGATGAATAGTGAACGGCTCAAATCGCTTTAGTATGGTAGCCTTCATTTTTAAAAGAGATCTCTGAAATGATATCTCTAAAAATAAATAGAGTTTCTGGATATAACAAAAAATTGATTTAGAACAATTGTCACAGATTCAGAAACAAGGAAACATGTTGAAAGATGCATTCGCTTAAGTTGTTAAGATTTCTAAGTCTCAGAATCAAGACTTACCATGAGCTGGATAGAGTTCTGCATTTCTAACATGACAGCTTTGAAATAAGACTCCTGTGGGTAAAATCATAGAATTATAGAACTAGAAAGGACTCCAAGAGTCATAGCACCCAGGTATGGGTAAAACATCTCCAATGAAGGGGAGTCCAGCAACTTTCAACAGTCTGTTCCATTGCTGAATTGTTTATATTGTTGGGATAGTCTTCCTAATGTTTAGTCAAAATCCTCTTGTAATTTGAATCCATTTATTTGGGTTCTGTTTTCTGGAACTGTAGAAAGCAAACTTGCTCCACCTTCCATGTAAAAACCTTCATCTATTTGAAGGTAACTAACACATCACTTCTTATTTTCTCCAGGCTATATGTATGCTATGCCTTCAAGTGTTCCTCTTAGGGCTTGGTTTCCAGATTATTGGCCATCTTAGTTGGCCTCCTCTGGTAACCTTCCAGCTTATTATTTTAAACTATTGTCCCTAGAATGGGACAAAATATTCCAAGTGAATCCTGAACAAACTAGAATAGAGTTCCTTTGAAATAGACACCATACTTCATAGAATCATTGAATCATAGAACAATGAAGTTGGAAGGGGCCTATAAGGCCATGAAGTCCAACCCTCTGCTTGATCCAAATCAAAGTACAGTGGTACCTTGACTTACGAATGTCTCCACTTGTGAACGTTTAGAGTTATGAATGGCTCCGTTCGCAAAATGTTGCTTCAACTTGCGAACGGAGCCTCAACCTACAAACAAAAAAAAGG